TGTGTGCCTGGCTCCTGCCACTCAAGACTAACATGCTATTTCTCCGCTCAAAGCTCAGGAGGGATGGTTATAGGCTCTGGAGTACAGTTCTAATTGAAAAATTTTTTTTTGAAGAATTTTTTTAAAGAAAATCTTTTTAAAGAGACCCTTCATTTTCCATTAAAAGCTGTTTTCTGCTTTTAACATTTTAAACCAAAAAAAAAAAAAAAAATGGAAAGAATCGTACAATGAACGCTGTGTAATCTTTAGTTAGATTTACCAATTTTTAGCCTTCTATGATTTCTACTTTCTCTCTCTCTCTCTCTCTCTCTCTCTGTATAATGTATACAGACAGATACATTTTTTCCCTGAAATCTTTGAAAATAAATTGCAGAATCATGAGATGTTATTGCCAATTTCTTCTTCCAGTAACTCCTAAAAGCAAAAACAATGCAGGAGAGAAAATCGGATTGATTCATCACCACCTTGGCTCTCCCTCAGTTGGGTGTCTAGACCTGGTCCAGTCAGCTGTGGTGGAGGGGTCAGAAGGCACAATCCCACCTCTGGGTTCATCTCTCTGAGTAGGGTCAGTTCTCAGAGAAGGACATGGCTGGGCAGATATTTACAGTGATTCTACTGCATCCTGATTATTTTTTATCTTTTTCAGATTAAGGTTTCAGATAAAATATGCTGTGTCATGAATCCTTGAGGTTGTCTATAAATAGCTGAAACTGCAAAATCAAAATCTACAAATCCTGAACATCTACAACATTTTCAAACAGCCCAAATCTATTCCTGCTAAATGACTTTACAACTTTCTACTGGTGATCACTTCCAGTAATGGAACTGTGATCTTGGAAAGTTCAGGAATAAAATAATCATACAGAAGATTTTCTGTACCTATGAATAAATAAAATCGTTAAACAGCTAATAGTAATTGAGTGCTACCTCCATGCTAGGCTCTGTGCTAAGTATTTTACATACGTTATTCCATTCCATCCTCACAAAAACCCTGTGCAATATTATTCTTGACATTTTATACAAGAAGTAACTAAGGAACAAAGAGCTTAGGCAACCAACCAGCTAGTAAGTGGCAGGTCTCTACTCTCCTTAAGCTGTAGTGTTAACCACCACCCTGTATCCAAAAGCATAACCATGCCCTGAATGCTTAAGGGAGCTATTCACCTTCCCCTGCCTCTCTAGGGAAAGAAACTTGAGCCCATTTTTAGTAACAAAGAATGAACATGGCTCCAATGCTATAACCAGATAGTCTGGAACAATGCTTATCACTTTTACTACAGGAAGCTCCCTAGGGAACAATCAACACAGAATGAGTATTCCTCTGCGGGTTAGCACTGTCTCTGAACAGTCCCCAAATACTCTAAGTTCAACTAAAAGGCCACATGCCAGATAAAGAAAGGTTATCCTTTCCTGAAGGTGATTGTGCTGAAATGAAACCATCCTTTCCAATTACATTCCTGCCTCAGCCAACATGTCAGCGGGAGTTTCCATAAGTGCTTGGTCAGAAGGCAGGCAGCGAGCTCCCACATGCCAACAGTACACTGTGAGGGTCCTCTCACCACGATATCGTGGGCTAAGCAGGGTCCACCAAATGCACTTTTAATTACCCTCATCCTCACGGCAACACAAAACATTAACTCTTGGGATACATTTAATCCACAAATTGATAAATACACCATACTCCTGCCTCAGCACCTGAGTTAGAGGTCAGGGTCAAATATTGGCTCTTTATGCGCCCATCAGGATGCATTAGCCCAGTTTGAGTTCAGTTTGGAGTTTGGGGGCTCAAGTCTTCAAGGGGTATTTTCAACTATATAGTCTCTGCTGGCAGCCTCATCAAGAGGTTGCATGTGACAAGGATAACAGAGTTATATGGGGGGAGGGGAACATCACTCTCTTTCCTGACCTACACCTCATAGGAGAGGAAGTAGTCCAAATATATTCAGCTTTTACCAGTAACTCCTTATGATTCAACAACATAGATAATTTTTAAAGCTTTTTTTAAGCTTACTTAAAAAAAGTTTTCTACTTTTGTTTTCTACTTTGAGAGTGTTCCAAAACTTCCTTTTGCAGTATAAGTTACCCCTTCCTGTAACTGACCTAAACTACACTCACATTTCCTTGGATGCCCTCTAGTAGAACTATTCTTATTTTAGTTGTGGCATCCTTTTGAAAAGAGAATATTTACCTCTATGTTACTAGGCTGGTTCAGGCTGCTTGGAAAAGTCATGCCCATATTAGGAAAGAAAATGTGTTCAGTGCAAGGACACATGAGAACGTAAGCCACTTGAATCCATATGAGAATCACTTGAACCCAGGAGGGGGAGTTCGCAGCGAGCCAAGATCACAGGGAGGCGAACACCTCTGTCCTAACCATAGACTTCCAAGATTGAGGAGCACAGCACACTTCACAGAGACCTAGAAGAACACATCGTCCTCACTCAGTCTGAGTTCTAGTCACCCACTTTCATTTTCTCCATCGGGTATTTATTCTTCCAAAGACAGTGGACTGAATCAGCTTGTCACCATCCCACTATGGACTCCCTTGTTGGTCAGTCTCTGGGACTCTTGGTCTCAATCATGTCCAACTTATACCTATTAGATTTTGACTCAAGGGAAAATCCCTTGTTCCATCATTTATGGCCAGGATAGCAAGATAAGCACATAGTATATGAGAACCATTCAGAAGAGAGCTGGGGGCATGACAGAAATTTCAGCCTGCATAGTCTGTCTTTTAATTTATATGTAGTAAGTTCTGTTTTATAGCTTCAGAGTTTTCTCGGTGCAGGAAATGCAATGGCTGCTGGTAAATTGCAGAGATTAAAGAATTGAAAAGTTTCACTGTTACCAAGATTTGAAAAGTTTTACTATCATCACGTGCAGAAAAGAGTTAACATGGCAGGGCTGAGACTACTGTGCTTCGAAAGTGCTGATTGCAAGGCTTGTCCATGGCTGGCATCAGGAAACTTGGATTTAAGGAGAGTCCCCACCACTCTCAGAACTGCCTGTGCAAAGAGTATGGTTTATGCTGAACACTTGCTTTCCTTCAAGGAGTCTGAAATTCTGGCACATGATAAAAAGAAGGTGCCTACGTGACCAGCCTCACAAAAAGCCTTGGGCAATGACTTGCTTATGAGCTTCCCTGGAGAACAACACTTGACACGTGGTGTCCCAATTTGTTGCTGGAGAAATTCAGTGCGTCTTGTGCGACTTCACTGGGAGAGGATGCTTGAAAGTATGCGCCCAGTTTCTGCTGGTCTTTGCCCTACATGCCTTTTCCCCTTGCTGATTTTACTTTATATCTTTTCACTATAATAAATCATAGCCATGAGCACAACTATATGCTGAGTCCTGTGAGTCCCCCTAGAGAACCATTGAAACTGGGAGTGGTCTTGGGGACCTGAACACAGCCAATCAGATCCACAGATTCTCATTTGTAACAGAGTAGCCTATCTCCTCACATTTTAAAAAATGAATTACAAGTTCTCCCCTGCAGAGACAGTACATTGCCCCTCTCTGCCTTCAATTATAGCCATACATTCATTACAGCTATTTAAGTCGGGAACTTGAAAGAGTCAGCTTTCTTTGGAAGTAGCCATAAAAGACTAAAAATTTAATGAGGGCAAAGAGAAGACATCAAGGGGGCAGAGCCAGCTGGAGGAGACTGCCATCTGATACACTTGCTCTGAGTGGTATTCAGCTGGTTAGTGGCAGCGCTGCTATTTACCACAAAAAGCTGGTTAAAATGAGCATTTTCTGCCACACTCACACATTCTTAATGAGCCAAATTCTTCCATGGCATGACCTTTTTGTGCAGGTCAGCTCCTTTGAGAAGCTGCATTTATTCTCTTACATTTTTAGGTTTTGCTGGCACATTAAAAATAATACCTAAGGGTCTGAAAGAAGCCCTGCCATTGCTCAGAAGTGCCTGATTTACTCCTGGGGAGTAGCCCAGACCCTGAGAGAATTTCAATCCGTGAGGTTTTATGATAAATGTCAGTGATTATGCTGATACTAGAATGGTCCACCAAAACTAGGCAAGGGAAGGCATTTTTTTTTCTGGGGGAGGGGGAAGCATGAACTGCTTCATGTAAAGCTTATGGTGATGCTTTAGCATCCTGCTTCTCCTCCCAAGGGTGGGAGTGGGAGAGAAGAGAGAAAGAAGGTATAGGAAGGAAACAGACTACAAGGAAGGAAAGAGAAGGAAAAGAAGTGGTTAGAGAATGTGACAAAGGGTCGCTTCAGCTTCCAGCCTCTGGCCATGAAAATCCCCATCTCCGGGGGTCCTCTGAGTTGTGCTCAACCCCACCCATAACCTGATGCCACTGGCTATACTTCATGGTCTCCCTGAGGCTACCCCCTCATCTGGCCCATCAAGCTTACTCTGACTGGAGCTTACAGGAGATGGGCCCATCATTTTGATCAAACAAGCAGCTTTTCCAATCTCCTCATAAATTCTAAAAGCAGTCATTTACTCCCGTCTGGAATATCCAATGCCCTGTGCTCAAAAACAAGTCTGTGGTTCTTCTATCCACAATCCTACATGTCTTCATGATGTCCCACGCTGGGAAAGAGCCAGGAATCTGGACAGTGGTTGTTTTAGTCTGCCCAGGGTCTCTTCTTTAGAGAAACCTCTTTCTCCACACCATATGGTTTGTGAAGCTCTCAGTAAGAGTGTGCAGCCTGCTACAGGGATGGTATCATGACCCAAACACAGCCAGGCACAGGACTGCCCACTTGACAATGTGCTTCGTCCAAGGGGTGGGCACATGACACAAGCAAGGCCAACCAGAACCTTCTCCTGGGTTGGATCTATGAACCAGGAGGATAGATTCTCTTCAGGGTAGGCTGCCAAGGCTGAGAGGATGGCTTTTAGGGCTTGCACCAGCTATCTTATCAGCCACATGGGAAAACTAAAATAGCAGAGTAAGCTGAGAGTCTGGAGAGTGTGTGTGTGGGTGTGTGTGTGTGTGTGTGTGAGAGAGAGAGAGAGAGAGAGAGAGAGAGAGAGAGAGAGAGAATCTTATAGCATTGAGTTCTACATTAGTTTGTTAGTGCTGCCACAACCCTGGTAATTTAAACAACAAAAATTCATTTTCTCACAGTTCTGGAGCCCAGAAGCCTGAAATCAAGGTGTCATCAGGGCAGCACTCCCTCAGGATGAACTGGCCAGCACTGCAGCTAGTTTACCACTCTGACAGCATAGACTGGAGTTTCCAGGAGCCACACTGTGGAATCCAAGGATGAAATGAGACTACTGAAGGTAGGGCGAGAGAAGGCAAGAAATGGGACCACTGGTGACCTTATTTGGGCTCCTGGGTGAAGGCTTATCTAAATCCAGTCCTATCCATGGACTTCACAGCTATAGGGGTCAATAAATTCCATTTAATTGCATAAACCATATTTAAGTTGGCTTCTCTGTCACCTGACCAAAAAAATCCCTCGCAAATATAAACTGTCAAACCTCTCATGCAGTTTGTTTTGTGATTTTTACTTGCTTTTGTGTTTTGCTTTATTTATTGTAAACCATACGCCATAGCAGTTTTGTCATCAGTACCTGTAGGATCGGCTCTAATGAATTATTTTCATAATAGTGCACCTTAATTATATGCTTACTGTGTACCAGGCACTAAATACTTTACATATTGATATACTTAATCTGCACAATAACTCTATGAAATCAGTATAATTATTATCACAATTTTACAGATGAGGCAACTGAGATGCAAAGATATTAAGTAACTTACCCAAGGTTATATAATAAGTAGTAAAGCCAAGATTTACTACCAAGGCAATTTTGTACCAAGGCAGTCTGTCTCATAAACCCTTGTTTTTAATTACTACAGTACACCACAAAGATTGCACTAGTCACATGCTAACATTGACATTGTCCAACTGTCTAATTTTTGCCACTATATTGGGTGTAAAGTGACATTTGTAATTTACTATGTAACCTTGGACAAACTACTTAAACTCTGTGTATGTTTCTTCATCTGTAAATTAGAAGTAATAAAGTAATATTGATTTCAAAGGGCTGTTGCGCAATTTAAATAATAGTAGTGATGTTGAGTATCTTTTCTATATTTATTGTCCACTTGGGGTTCCCCTGTTGGGAAATGCCTGTTCATATCTATTCCCCCCTGCTTTTTTAAATTGAGTTTCCTTTTTCTTCTTGATTTGCAGGGTGTGTGTGTGTGTGTGTGTGTGTGTGTGTGTGTGTGTGTGTGTTATGAGTTACATGTCAGTTGTAAATATTTATATCTCCTTCTATCATTTTGTCTATGGTGCCCTTGATTGAATAGGAATCTTTCATTTCATTTTGTATAGGGCTGTTGGCCCCACAGGGTCGTGGGGTGTCCCTTATGCTGTGCTGAAGTGCAGGATTCAAGAAGTAAAGAGACGGGACACTAAAGAACTGGTGAAGAGCATCTGGACTTGGGGGCCACACCACCTATGAGCAGAGACAGGTGAGAGCCCAAACATGCAGAAGCATCTGTATTTATTAGGTACAGGCAGGGAGAAGTGTCGTTAAGTGAGGTCATCATCTATAGGCTTAGTGATAGGGCATACATAATTATGTGAGTCACAAGCGAGGGGGCCACCCCATTATGTCACCTGGGCAGAGAGGTGGGCTGTGCGCAGTAGGGAGCTGTTTTGTATGCAGTAATAGAGGGTTGTGTACAGAAAAGGGGTCCACCCCCATCAGGTCACTAAGGCAAGGAGTTGGTATGTGTGCAACAGGTGTTGTGCACACTTCTTATCTGGGGCCTGGAGACTTCAAAGGATTTCTAATAGAAGGATACTGTAATCCAATGCAGTGGGAGCCAACATACTTGTGCTCTTCTCTTAAGATATTTATGGGAGGATGATTTGAGCTAGCACAGAAGTGAGAAAAGATTGAGAGGGTGTACAGCCACCATGACTGGTCACGCCAGAGGGATTCTTCTCTCTTGGTTATCTGCAGGATCTCAAGCCTGAGGCCTACTTTCCACAAGAACTGGATGCAAGGTACTACAACTCCTTTATCAGGAGGAGAGGCTCTTGCTCCAAGCCTGCCATACAGTGTATGCCCTTTTAGGCAGGGATGCGACTGCCTGGGTCTTTGGTTCTTGTCCTGGTCTGGCTATTTTCCCATGTACTGCTTCTGTTCTGTGACTGCTCTAGGCATTCCTCCTGCTACAAACTACTATATGGTTATGTGGAAGGATTATATAAATCAGCACTAAATGTGTCAGTACAGCTCCAACTACAATACCTATATATTATATAGAAAGATTATATGGAACTAAGTATGATTATATATATAAGCTAAATATAGTAAGCATTGAGTTATGCTTTAGGCACTAACGGTGCCTGGGGTCTGCCAGTTCTCCTTCCTCGGTGCCCATGGGGGGTGTTAACCACAATTTTGATATACTCAAATCCATTCATTGTGCTCCAAATGTAGAGGGAATAAAGATATGAAGAACACTGTTTATGCTTTAAGCAACTTAACATCTAGCTGGAGAATCAAGAACTATGAGAACAAGTGTTAAATATCGTATAGCAGTCTGCAATATAATGCCAAGTTTTAAAGGCTATGTAGCCAACAGTATAAACTTGGGAAAGTATCTGAATCTTCCTGAGCTTCAGTTCTATTTGGAAAATGGAAGCAATTTAAAAAGACCATTCCATTTACCATATTATTTATTTATTTATTTATTGAGATGGAGTTTTGCTCTGTTGCTCAGGCTGGAGTGCAGTGGCATGATCTTGGCTCACTGCAACCTCTGCCTCCCAGGTTCAAGCAATTCTCATGCCTCAGCCTCCCAAGTAGCTGACACTACAGGCACCCACCACTATGCCTGGCTAATGTTCATAGTTTCAGTAGAGACAGGGTTTCATCATGTTGGCCTTGCAAAGTGCTGGGATTATAAGGCGTGAGTCACCATGCCTGGCTTCCTTTCCATTTATTGTGATAAATAAAATAAGAGATGTTGAATGGCTCTCACAGTACCTGGTGTATAGTACCAACTACAATTTAGATGCAAAACAGATCAATGAGATAATAATGGCTATCATGTATAGAGGTGCTACCTGCCAGGCATTTTTTATATGTATCTGCTTAAATTTCACAACTCCTTGCAAGGTATTATCACTGCCATTTGTCAGACGCAGAAACCTAGGTTCAGAGGGCTTACATTATTATTTGATGAAAGTCAGGCTACACAGCTAGTAAATGGCAGTGATAGGATGAAAAGCCAGATTAGTTTGACCTCAAACCTCCTGTGCCTTCTACTATGCCAAGCTGTTGTCAGAAAAGATATTAAGGAAGCAATGAAACTTGACTTGGGTCCTGAAAACAAAACAAACCAACCAACCCAAGCATTTCAATAGACAGGAGGAAGGGAGGAAAGATCATGCCAGATTCTGAGGGAGTCCAGTGCATCTGCAAGGAATGCAATGTATTGTGAGTTACCCGAGGGCAGAAGCAAAACTTTGTCCATCGTAGTTCCCTTCGATCTTAGCACAGCGACCAGGATAGAGTATCTGGTGGGGGAACATCTATTCCCTGATCTTATTACCATAACAAGGGAGCAGGAGTAAGTGGTCTGACTGGTGCGTTTAAAAGAACTGGCCATGTGTCACTTTACTCCCTCAAGTTTGGGGAGCAGGCATATCCCAGGAGGCACATGTTTTCTGCTTTTTCCATGCAGTCAGTTTAGTTTTTACACAAGCAGTTTTTCCAGCTCTGCTTGTGACTGAGTGGATATGTTCAATTCTGGGCCCACTGTCCCTGCAGATCTAAACCCATGGCTGCCATTCCAGCCTTTAGCAGAGACAAAGCTGACATTTTGCTCCCCATAAGTCTGACTCCTGCTGCTATCTCAATGGATTCTGACCATGGGTATTATCTTGAAGCCCCCTAAAACTACAACAGTGGGCACTCAACAAACCTTGACAGCAGAGTGAATATGACAAGTTCAGAGGACAATGAGAAGACCCGCCTGCTAAGAGCAGAGGAAGTATGCTGATGTAGTTGAAGAGAAGTTAGGTGGACAGGATGGGCCCAGTAATGGATGGCTTATAAGAAATGTAGAGTCTGGATTTGATGTGGGAAGAAGAGCGCTGAAACTTTCTGAGTAGAGGAAGAATGTGAACACGAGGAAGACAATGTCTAAAATAAGCCAGTGAAGGAACATGACAATGGATTGCAGTGGAGACTACAGGGGAGAGCCTAGAGCCAGAGGACAACGAAAGGTTTTCAGAATTTTCAAGTGAGGGAGCATGAAGGTCTGGCCTAGGATAGTGAACATGTAAACAGAGGCGAGGGGATGCATATGAGATCCCAGTGGGTAAACTGCCAGGCTATGGGGGCAAGCCAGGTCTGGGAAAAGGAGATAGGTTTAAAGGCAACCACCCTGAAAGAGGTAGATGAGCAGGCCCTGAAGCTGGGGGGAGTGAGGCTTAGCCTTCGGCATGTGAAATCTGAGGTGCCAAGTGGCTCGTTCTCCGCACCAGTTATGGAAGGAAAGACGCCTTAATTAGGGGCATATTAGGGAGTTAACCCTGTCAAAGAGGTAGCACGCTTACGAAGGCCGCTGGGAAGAAGCTGAAGACCGCAAGCCGGAACGTAGAGGCTACTTGGGATGACAGGGAGGAGGGACACGGGTGATGAGTGAGTGGGCAGAGGAGACGCCGCGGACACCGCTTCCGACCCGAGTGAAGGAGGAGATGAGGCTGCTGGCAAACGCTGGACTGAGGATCGTCCCAGAAGAGGAAGGTGGCTGCCACCTCTCCCAGGACATGCACCGTAGTGCCCACAGCAGCCTTCCCCACCCCGGCCGGTCTTCCCGCCCCTGCGCCCACTTCCCGGTGCCCGGCTGCTGTGACACCCTCAATCCCGGGCTGCCGGGTCTCCTCTGCATCCCTGGGCCTGCCAGTTCAGCCATGGGGGTGGGGGCGGCTCTGCTTCTCAGGCCGCGGGACGTCTTTCCCTCCAGGTTCCAGTCCCGGCCTGGGCTGCCCCTGCCCGGGCCCCCCACGGCACCGCCCACCTGGCCACAGCCGCAGCCCGCCCTGACCGCCGCCAGCCAGCAGCCCCTCCCGGGGTGGGATTCCCCTCCCCCTTCCCTCCGCCTTTGTGGCAGAGACCCCTGGGACACTCCCTCTGCCTCCGCTCCACTTCCAGGGGGCCGAAGGGGCGCCGGGCGGTGGGGAGAGAAGGGTTCGGCGGCGCCAGGACACCCGCGGGCTCCCCGGAGCAGGGGGCGGGAGTAGAGGATGCAGGAGCCGCTGGGGCCGTCGCAGCAGAAGGGGGAGGAGAATGGGGAGGAGCTGGGGGGCAGGCAGGCGGGGAAGGAGAGGTCTTAAGGGGCGGCGAGCCCAAGTCGGACATCCTCTGAGGCTGGCGTTCGGCGGCGCTCCCGCCTCCGCTTAGAGCTCACCGCGGTCGTCCTGCTTCGCACCCTCCGGAGACCGGGACCGGACCACGGTGAGCGCAGGGCGCGCGGCGCGGAGGCCGGACTCCGCCGGCGGCCGGGGGTGCTCGGGCGGAGGGACCCGAGCAAGTTCCCGGGTCGGCGCGGGGCCCGGCTCCTTCAGTCTCGCTCTCTTCTCTCTTCCGCAGATGTGGAAACGCTGGCTCGCGCTCGCGCTGGTGGCGGTAGCCTGGGTCCGCGCCGAGGTAGGAGAGGGGCCGAGGAGTCCCAACTCGGGCCCCGGGACCGCTGCGGTCTGCGTGCCTGGGGATGCTCTCCCGGGGCGGCGCGGGGAGTTTCCATCCTGGGGTGGGCTGGGGTGGAGCTGGGGGAGCGCTGCGGAAAGAAATGCTACTCAACGAAACTTAAATCTCTCGAAAGCAGGAAAAGTAGTTCGGGCCGTAAGCGGGAGACCCGCTGCCGCTAACATGGAGGGAGAGCCGGGAGGAGGAGAGGGGCGGGCTGAGCCGGCCGGGACGAGGCGGCTACCCGAGCAAAACCGAGTTCAAAAAGGCGCCTCCATTCCTTCCTTCACTTTAGAGGAGACTGCGAATAGTTGGGAACTTTTCCCTCCCAAGTCTGTCTCCTGGGGGCGGGGGGAGAGGAATCTCGGGATTCTTCTTTTGGGACAAAATTCATTTTCTGTTTTCTCTTTTTCATGATTTCTTGAAATGTATTTTCTTTTTTGTAAAGTGTTCTCGGGTTTTGTGTTATCATCTGGGCCATGTAACGGCCTTTCCCGAAATGTTCCCTGTAACGTTGCGCAAGAGAAGATCCATTGCTGTTCTTTGGGGGCTCGAGTTCCCACTTAAACCATTTCAGCGCTTGTTTTTTTGTATTAATTTTTTCAACTCCAGCGACCTTCCCGCGACACTACAGACAAACCAAGAAACTCTTTGCTCAGAAGCCCCTTCATTAACTCAAAGGTTTATGGACAGAAAATAAACAATTCTAAATTCCCCAGGCTCCAGTCTCCGGAAAAGTGAGGTCAGAAACTAAACATTTGATAATTATGGCAGGAAATATGGAAGGAATTAAAAAGCATGAGGGAGAAGAAATGGAATGCACATTACAAAAGAAATAGTTCCCTGGTGGGTGGTTTATGCTTCCCCCTTTGAATTTTTCCCTTCATTTTACAGTTTAACCACACCCTTAGCATCGCAGCCTGACTCTGCCCAAAAAAAATCATAAATGCATACAAGGTCTTCACAATTAAAAAAAAATGTATTGAACTGAATTCTCATTTAATTCACTACTACATTGTTGATTAAGGTGGAAACTCAACTGTTTTTATTCCCAATGAAATAAAAGTAGCTAATATTTATTAGATATCTGCTGTGTTGTAATAAAATTCCATTTTAATACATAAATTGAGTCAGGGAAGGTTACCCAATGCCCTCAGCTATTAAATCCTGGGGGTGAGATTTGAACCCAAGCAGTTTGGCTCCAGACCCGAGGCTCTTGACCACTAGCCCACACCACTTCCAAGCACAATGGTTTCACGTTTACCAAATACGTTTTTGTGTACCAGA